TCTTCACGCAGCTTCCTCAGCTCACCATTTCCTTCAGTAAGTTTCAAAATCATTTTCCTTGTTTAAAAGTTCTTTTACATACCTGCTACAGTCTGCATTACACACAATATTTGCCTGTCCTTTTCCTCACTTTCTTATTCTGCTAAACAGTGACTCTCATTCTAGACATTCTCATAACCTGCACTATCAGCAGATGAGCTTTTCTTTTAACACTTCCGTCAGACTCCGTCCTCCCATATCCAGTAAATCTCTTTACCCTTCTCAACTGGAAACATACTGACTGTTCAGATTTGGTAAAAACTACTTTATATACCTTATGATTTTGTTCTCTGTCTCCAAAAATTGGACTGGCTTATAATTTCTGTGCCATGCTGCCAGTAAAATAATTATTTTATTGAAGTATTAAAACTGTTGAAATAAGGATCAGTGCAAGACCTCTCAGTGCTGTACCAAAACTCCATGCTGATAAACAGAGAAAAGAAAAGAAAAAAAAAAAAAAAAAAAGGCAAACCCCAAACACATTCAATATTATTTGCGGCTCCTGACAACTCACCTGTGCCAAAATATTGAATATTAAAAGTATAAAAATCACAAAGTAGTTTGCACCTGCAGTGAAATATTTTCTGTAAACCTTAAAGTTTATTTTTCCCTCAGAGCGACTCTCTTCTGGCACTGCAGCCAGTGCATTTTCAGCCTGAAAAAAAAAACAGAATAAAAAATATCAACCTTGCAGTTACAGCTTCAGCCTAAGCCACTTGAAAGTCATGGTTCAGAATTAGCAAACAATTAAATAAGGAGATAAAGAGATTACACATATAAAAACTTTAAATATCGGAACTATAGCTTTGACAAAAAAAATTAGTCTCAGTGCAGTAATACTGAAAAACCTATTCTGCAAAATGACAGTGAAGATTTTATTTTGCATTGCATCACAGAATATAAAATGACTCCATTTACAACCTGAAATATTTACTCTGACTGCTAAACCAGGTTTTTCTTTGCTTACATACTACCTTCAGTTATAACAGCTCTGGAGACTAAGGCCTTGACTCAGGAAACATTCGGTTTTCAGAATGCAAGCGTGTATAACCTTTCCTTTTCAGAAAAGTATTTAAAGTAAATACTTCTGCAAGTATGCACCAAAATCAATCAACATATGCCCAGAATAACAAATTACCCACAAAGTTCTAACCACCTCCTTGTAAGTACCAACAAAGCATCTGTTAATAGGGGAAACAAGTAAAACGACAAATGAGAAATCATACTAAGCAAAGAATGGGTGGGGGACACTGAAAGACAGAAAAGGAAAAAATAAGGCAGGCATAAAGAAGGTAAATAAACTATTCAAATAAAACAAATCATGTTGTTTTTTTTTTTTACAGTACATGTGATAGAAAAACTAGTGCCAGTTCAGTGGACACATAACAGTTGATTTTTTTTTCAGCAGACATGGCTGTACTGTAATCACCAGACCTGACTCAGATGTGAAAGGAGAAATCAATTCTACCTATTCACCTATAAAAGAAGAGAAGCATAGTTTGGTTTTTTTGTTTCTCCAGCCCTCCTGCCCCCATCCAACAGCTCTAATGCTGCTAAAAAGTTTGGCACACCTTTGTGGATTCAATAGGGGAGTCACTACTGGGACATGAATAATGTTAGATAAGTTTACTGGTTTACTGCTTTGAGGCATAAAACCATTCCTCCAAAAACGTATGAAAAATGAAAGTCTGTAGTAGTATTTTTTTTGTTTGTATCTCACTGCTTTTTATTACAGAAAAGAGAAAGAAGTAATATATACCCATAGCAGAAAGGTGGCAATCATCAGGGGGACACAGGGGTTACTTGTTCCACGGATGCAGTGCTGGCACAGGCCTAGCAGGGTTACAGGGCTCCTGCACTGTTCTGCGTGAATGCAAGCACACCAGCAGAAGGCCACATCTGGTACAGAAACCTTACGGCTGCTTTTGCACTGTGCAGATCAAGAGACAACGAGGCACCTGGAAGTCAAGCTGGCACCATACTAAGTGTTCTGTTTTCACCAACAGAAGGGCTGGGGAGACCAATGCAGTTGCATCCCAAGGTTAGCGCCCTCAGGGCCAGGCCAAGATCATGTGGGTACATTAATGCCAGCCATGCAAAGGTAGACTTTGCATAAGCCACTGCTTCGGCATGCACTTCCCAGAGCTCAGGATTTCAGAGGAAGTGTTCATTTGAGCTCAGTCCTGCCTGAACAGACAGAACCCACCTAATAAAGTGGTATTGGCCCTTTAAAGCACCGCTGTCAGAGGACAGGATGAAGGAAGCACAGTGCAGTGTCTTTGGACACCTACAGGAATGCTTCCTGCATCCAGCAGATCTGATGCTGAACCTGAACAAACTCACTCTGCTGGGTGTTCAAACCAGAACAGCACAGAGCTGTGGGATGCCTGCCCTCTGCAGCCCACGTGGCAGGACTGCCAGCCAAGCACTGTGCTAAGGCAGATCCACCACGGGTGAGCTCTCCCCTGCTAATGCAATCCAACAATCCCTGAAATTCAAATGCAGCAGGGCAAGTCCTTATCGCAGTTTAAGTTAAGACCAGAATTGAGACACGTCTATCCTTGGAGCACTCACAGGTGGTTGGTCCACTGCTCCGTCTTTCTGTGAGTGGACAGAAGAATCCTGGGACCAGACAGAGGACTCTGAGAAGGTTCGGCTCCGGACAGACTTCAGGTTGGGGGTTCCTGGAACTGACAGCTGTTCTACCTCTTCATCTTTTTTCAAAAGGGAAGCAAAGTCGACGCCAGATCTCAGGAACTCTGAATAGGTACCTTTCCCCACCATTTTACCCTACAATTAATATAAGCTTTGATTATCTTCATTATACACTTTCTGTAAAGGACAATTTTTCCTATCTAGCCCTGCTGCCTCTGGGGTTCTACAGTTGCTGAGCACACATCCCACTGCAGTAACTGAGCTGAAGCCTCTAACTATCAGCTGCTCATTTAGAAGACCAGAAACAAGCTCTTCACCCTCTGTCCAGTCCCCTCCTGGCAGCTAACCAGGCCAAGGAGCATATGAATGGGATGACAAAAGTCCCAGTTACAGCCAGGTGAGAATCACCTCCTCCAAGAAGCTGCGGGAGACAGCCATGCAGCTTTAGGACAACCTGTTGAACTACATACATAACCATCAGACTTTTTATATTACTCCAGGCTAGGGGTAAACTGTTTAGCCTGGAAAAAAAGGAGACCTTATCACCCTCTACAACTGCCTGAAAGGAGGGTGTAGTGAGGTGGGTGTCAGTCTCTTCTCCCTGGTAATGGGCGACAGGACAAGGGGAAATGGCCTCAAGTTGCACCAGGGCAGGTTTAGGTTGGAAATTAGGAAAAATTTCATCACTGAAAGGGTTGTCAAGCATTGGAACGGGCTGCCCAGGGAAGTGGTCGAGTCCCCATCCCTGGAGGTATTTAAAAGATGGGTAGATGAGGTGCAGAGGGACGTGGTTTAGTGGTGCGCCGGCAGTGTTAGGTTAATGGTTGGACTTGATGATCTTAAAGATCTTTTCCAACCTAAACAATTCCATGATTCTGTGATTCTAAACAGCAGCTTAATTTTCTGGTCCTCACAGAGCTCTACAAGGAACAACACACTCCATTTCCACACCTTTTAGAGCTCTATCACGAACTCTGTTCTAGAAAGCTACTGTAAACTTTAAAGAGATCTGAATGGCAGGAAAAAGTGTCCTTTTTCGCAACTTTGTGATACACCAAAAGTAATTTTGAAGTACTTCACCATCCAAAAAACTTAAAACCAAAACAAAACAGCTGAAGTTCTTGCATTTGCCCTCCATCCGTGAGTATCTGGTTCAACAAAGTTTGGAAGGAACCAGTTTCGCTGAAGGCCTGCTCATTCTCAAAGGTATCTGTGACCATTTCTCAGCCTTAATTTAAAAAAGGGACCAGTTGCAAAATCAACATAGTTCTTAATTCACACAAAAGTGTAAGAAGCAAGAATAAAAGCAAAGCAGTAACGTAGTCTCAAAATAAGTAATTTTTCACAGTATATTATACATATGTAAGACAAAAATCAGTATGTAAGATTACTTATATGCACGATAAAATTCAGAAAGATTTTTCAGGGAAGGTATTCTAGGAAAAATCCATGTATTTCATTAATAATTATAGATCTTTGAAAACATATGGTCCCTAGTAGACAGAAAATATGTTTACAAACCAAAAATAAAAATATTTAATGGTTCTTTATTTCATTCTTAGATTAAAAAGGATAATTAGAAAGTATGTGAGATGTAAAAGTATAAACAATGAAATCACTTACATCTTTTAAAATTAGAATCTGATTTGCAGCACGGAGATACTGCAACTGGTGAGTGACCAAAACAGAGATCTTCTGATGTAAAGCCTGACAAATACATCTGCAAAGAGATGAAAAAATTAATTAAAAGATGAAGTGTCCTAAAACATATTGACTATTTCTGGAAATTATCTTCTATTCAATTATAGAGTGTTTAAAGTAAGAAAAAAAAGATGCCCATGCTTATTAGATTTATAAAAATTACACTTAACAAACATGTTCCTTATTTAACTTCCTAAGTTTTCAAGGTAGGGAAAAGAAATTTCCTATTTCTGGTCTGGGGTGAAAGAGAAGGAAATATCTTTAGGACATTTCATTAAAGTTGTCTTAAGCATCCTCCTAACAAATGTACATGTCATAAACTGAACTGCAAAGAGGGTATTTAACAAAAATTAAACTAACAGAAAGCGAAAGCAGGGAAACATAACGTGGACAACTATGGAAAAACATAGCAAATAAAAGTAACTTCTTTGAGATGAGCTTTCAGAGCAACTGTAACAGGGAGCCACTGAGAAGTAAACAGTACTACTGATCTGAGCTACATCCAGGTATATATTGCAGTAGAGGAGCGAGATCCTTCAACCATCTCTGACCTTTTCCCATGGAATCAGGGCATACTTCCTTCTCCCATATCTTACCTGCTTACTCTAGAGGCTTCCCTAGAAGTTTAGGATTCAGAGAGAGAAGTGAAGAAGGGACTGGGCACACTAGAACCAGTCAGCAAGTGCAGTTCAATCCCATACAGTTTTAGCAGAAAAGATATCTGGTATCTTTCCAGCAGAGCCTTGAAAGGCTGGCAGAGCCAAAAAAAACCAACCCAACCCAAAAACACAGCAGTGGAGCCATGGTTTACAGGTGCAGAGGTCTGCAAGCATGCTGTTCATGTACAATGGGGACAGCTGAGTATCCAATGCTACTAACACTCTCATTGCTTTCATCTCCACAGTAACATAGCAGGGAGACAGACCCTTTGAGAGGATGCCCCTTTCTCAGCTACTTGCTATCTTAAGAAAACAGGGAAAACTGATACTGCTTAGAACTGAAGCATCCAGTGAAGCTGTATACATTAGCATTTTCCATTTGGATCAGGAGTGCCTTTTTGAAGATCATCTCCCAGTTGTCTCAACTCAATCTGCTGTTGCTCATACTGTTGAGTGATATTGGGGCCCATGAACTGAACTTCTAGACAAAACCAAGCAGGAAAACACACTTCAGTAGCCCCCCTCATCAGTATTCAGCTGATGAGGAATGAAGCCCACAGGGCCAGGCTGCAACCTGCTCAAAGCTGAATCTTCTGAACTGCACGGGGACCTCAGCACTGTGCATTTTTCTCCACAGATCTGCTCCTGTTGGGCTCATTTTTGCTAACATGCTAACCCCATTTGCTAACGTGACACAGGAGGGTGGCACTCAGGACAAAAAGAAAAACAAACAACCCCACTTCCCCCCCCGCCAATTCTCTCTCTCCATTCTCAAAAAAACCTCAAGCAAAACCACAGCAATCCAACAGTACAAATTCAATACAGAAATGCAAATAAGCAGTAAGGGGAGTAAAAAGAACATGAGCTTAACAGCAATAATATCATATTGCTTACTGTGTTTCATGCTACTCTGAGCAGCCTGATCTAGTTAGCAGTGTCCCTGCTCCTGCGGGGGGGTTGGACTAGATGACCTCTTGGGGTCCCTTCCAACCCAAAACATTCTAGGGAGCAGAGTACTATGAAATGGTTAATACTAGTACCAGCCAGCATAATTACATGCAGAAAGCATATTATCGTGTTCCAAATGAACTGTGCAGTAAAATTAAGTTAAAAGCAGTACTCTTCCTGAGAAAGTTATGTGCTTGCTATGCAGCATTCAAGAAGCAACTATAAACCCATGATGCCATTCTTAGGTGGCCAAGAGAACAGTTAACCAAGGTATTTGCAGCAGCATAACTATTTGAGCAGTTGCAACCATTTACACACCAAGCTCTTCATAGGAGTATTACTGTGCTGTGGTTACCGTCCACCCTCTGAGCAGTCACTGAAACAAGCCACATGGCAACTAGGGCACCAGCTGAAGACACGCAACAAAACATAGTCTTCAACAAAATCTGTCCAGAGAACTGGACAAAGATCAGAGAGGCTACAGGATATTTACTTGTCTAGCAGGAAAGCTGCCAAAAGAGAATATATCAGGTACACAGTGCGAAGAGATCTAGCTTTCCCTAACACAGTCCCACAGCCTACATACCACTTTGATCACTGAATTTTCTGTGTTCCAGATGTATGTCTAACAGCTTACTGGGACAAATGAGAAAATCCCATGGCTGAAAACCTTTAAATCCTGATCCTGAGTCATGGTGAGCCCACTGCACTTTAAGTTTGCGTTTGGAGGGGGAAAAAAAGAAGAGAAAAAAAACTGGCTTATCACAGCATCAGAGCAAACCAATTAGAACTGTCAGAGCTGTCAGCACAGCATCCTGAGTGATCTTGATCTCAGGAGAGAAGGCAAAAATGACCTCTGTGGAAATATAAATTTCCACTGATGCATCAGGTCACTCAATGGAGAATTTCTAAAAAAACAACAACTCTCGATTTGATGTCTATCTGGGTAGAAAGAAGCTAGCTGAATAGTTTGTTGATAACAGGTGAGTAGAAAAATTGTTGTCACAAGTCACTGGCATGAGCACAGGGAGGAAAAATTGCAACAAAGAGCGTATACTTAGATCTATTACAGGGTTAAACAACTCACTGCTCAGACAGCTCACTAGAAAATTTTGCCATTTAAAATACTCTATCATCATGAAGCACAGAAGTTGCAAAACTAGTAAAATACTAAGTATATACTTAACATCTGTTTCAAAACATCAAATTACTTGAGCTTTATGTTCAAAACCTTTTATTTATTTATTTATTTTTTAAAATATTCTCTCTCCCTTTTGACAACATCTATTCTGCAGTTTACAGTGAGCATTAAGCTTGTATGGTGCCTTGGCTGCCATAAAAGACTGGAACCAGAGTTCACAGAGAGGCTCAGCAAAACCAAATGTGGTAAAAGGGCTGGTTGGCTCCAAGAGCTCACTGAATTCTTAGTAGTGAAAACTTGGTATTGTCTTAGAACTGAGAAAAAAAAAAAAACCAAAACAGTCCATAAATGTTTATGGTTTTAACTGGTTCACTAAGGCTTAGTTTCATTGTACCTCTACTTTTAGCAATACTGCTCTGTGTAGCTGAAGAAAAGCAACCATCAATTCTAGGTGAAACACCAGCTGACAGTGTCTCCCTTTCTTACTGACAATGCAGAGAATCCAGGGAAAGCCTGCCTCAATGGGGGACATACCTGCTCCAAGGGCTCAGACATCTGCTAGAGTACACCCAGAACTGCCACCATCTTTTTACTTGTTTAAAACCCCGCAAAGTTCACCTTCCTTGTGCTTCTCTGTTGTTCTCTCGAGGGGCATACTCTGTTAGTTAGACTGGGGGCGCTTCTAACGCATGACAGCAGGATGAATTACTGCACAAAATGCAGTTCCCATTGCCACATTTATTATATACAAATACACAAGCGCAGGCAGACACACACACACAGCCAGAAGAGACATGGACAGAGAAGACCCAAAGGTTCTTCAGCCTCTTCTGCACAAGGAAAACGCGGATGAAGGGATTATGAAAGTTGCACCCCTTTCCCCAAGTAAAAATCAACTTAAACTTAAACCATTCCTGACAGATGTTGGATAGGTTGTTCTGTATGTTCATTTAAAGCTCAAGAACAGACATTTCAACATCCTTGCAAATGTATTCCAGGGGCTAGCTACCTTTACCATTATTTTTTTTTTGCCTCTAAAGGCCAAGTTTACATCTTCTGGTACAATTTAAATGCACTGCTTCCTGGAGGACAGTAGATCAGTTTATACCTGTGTGCAGAGTTGCTTTACACATTAAGTCTCTCTCTTTCATGCCTCTTTTTTCCTTCAGACCCCAAAAACTAGAATCCCCCAAATCCTTTTTTCCCCCCTTTTCTTTTAAGTGAGAAATAGTTTTCTTCCACCCCTCCCCAACACCCAAATGCTCTTGATGGGCTACACTGGAGTCTGAAGCTGGTCTACATTTTTTTGGCCTGCACAAAATTGAAACATTCCAGTTGAGACCTTACAGGTACAAAACATAACAGGAGGATTACTTTACCTGTACTGCCTGATACAGTACTGGTCATAAATCCCAGGGTGTAGTTTCCTTAACAAGATCATGAATCGCTGTCTCATACTGGATTTGTGATCTACCCAATCTGCACCTCCTTTTCCATAAAGCTGCTGCACTACTGATCCCTGCTCATTTTATGTTCATGAAGTCAACACTTTGCACTTATCCCTGCTGTGTGCATCTATTAATTCACACCCTGTAACCAAGACTTTCTAAATCCCTGGCTGCCTCCAGAACTGCCTGAATCATTGCCTGGTTTTCTATCACCTGAAAACGTAGCATCAATGACTTTTGTTCAACATCACAAATACCAAACTCGGGATAGATCTCTCCAGAAATTACACTCTTCCAATTCAGCAGAGATAAACAGTATTTTAAGTTAGCAAACCTAAGTAACAGTATAGTATCATCCATTTAAAAAGCCCATTGCACTTTGACAGCAAAAAAAAATTAGCTTGAGCTTTGGTACTGCAGAGCATGCAGCAAAAGACACTGAGAAAGGGGCCCACAACACCACAGTGCTCCTCTATGCAGAGGTAGTGCTTTGGCGCTTCCATGCATACGAATCCTCATTTGTTCTTCCTTCTCTATCAGGTTTTCTTTTCCTTGAGACAAGTTGTTCTTTAATCTTTTTTAAGTTTTTATCTCCAAGAACCAGCTTTCTTTCACCTCTGCAAAGTGTCTCTTCTTTAATGATTCCATTTTCTTCCTTACCATTCTTTTTGCCTCTCCTTTTTGGAAGTTCACATGCAAGTTTAACTTTACTCTAGTTAATACTTACATTCATTTCAATGGAAATAACCACTGAGATGAAATTAAAGCAATGCAGAAGTGCTCACAGGCATAAAGCCTTTGCTATATTAATTTACTTACTACA